ATGACCATTTTTTTCCCTTTAAGTTCTTGAACATATTTATAGTGGGTGCTTTAAAGTCTTTGTCTGCTAATTCTAAAATCTAGGTCATCTTGGGGTCAATTTCAATTGACTCTCTCTCAACGAGTCATATTTTGTTTCTTTGCTTGTCTGGTATTATTTTATTGCATCTTGCACATTGTAGATGATGTGACATCGAGACTCTGAATTCTGCTTTCTTACTCTTAACAGTGTTGTTTTGTTCTAGCAGGCATTTAACTTGAATAAACTCAGACTCTAAAATCTGTCTCCCCAGTGATGGACAGCAGCTGAAATCACTGTTCAATTCTTTCAGCATCCCAGCTGTTGCTTCTTGCCAGGCTTCATGGAGAATCCCTAATCCATGTGCAGTTAAGGAATCCATCAAGGATTCTGGCAGTTTATAACCAGATTTTGGGGCTACCCTCTTTTTAGGATTTTCCCTTTACTTGCCAGCAATTCTGGTAATCCCAAGCTCTTAACCCAGCTCTTCAAACAAGTAAAACTGGAGCTTTCTCGTTGAGTTTAGCTGTACTACATCATATGGACTGCCCTTGGATAAAACAATATAAATGCAAACTTTGCACATTGTAGTTCCCTTCTTTCAAGGGTCAACTCCCCTCCAATTTCTGCCTAGTATGGTTGCTTTCCAGTGCCTTCAAGAAGTTACTTTTAATATATTAGCCAGAGTTTAAAATTGTTATCTATGGAAGGTTCAGTTCAACACAATCTACTATGACATGTAAGTCCATCTACTGAGCTTTTATTTCAACAATTATATATTTTTTGTTTCTAAACATTTTAATCATCCTAGTTTAAAATTTGCCTGGTCATTTTGGGTAGTCTCATTACTTGCTAATTTTTGTGATTCAACTTTTTATTTAAGTATTCTGTTCAATTATTTCATATTGTATCTCAGATAATTCCATTTTGTAAAGTCTTTGGGATCTAAATCCATTGATTACTATGTGTTTTAACTTTCACTCATGGTAGTTTGTTTCCTTTTATGCTTGTTTATCTAGATTTTGGATATTCGGTTGATCTTAACCTGTGAAAAAGTAGGGGCCTAAACAGAAGATGCTTCCTCCAAAGATGTACATTTAATTTCACTACTAGCCAAGGGATCCATACCAACTAGAGATCATTTCAGCTCCCTTCCCAGCTTAAATGTAGTCTCAAGTTTAACTTCCTTACCTTGCCTATAGCCCAAGGCTTAGTCTATCAAGCACAACATGGATATCAGTATTTATATTCAGGGTACTCTGCCTTTCATCTGTGCTTACTGATTACGGATCTGGTTTTGGCTATTTTTGTTTCACCTCTTGAGATTTAACTTCCTCCAAGTCCAAGGAGGCAATAAAAAATATGATTTATGCAGGCTCAAGTTGCTTTTTTTTTTTTTTTTTTTTTTGCAGTACGGGGGCCTCTCACTTTTGTGGCCTCTCCCATTGGCTCCGGACGCGCAGGCTCACCGGCCATGGCTCACGGGTCCAGCCGCTCCGCGGCATGTGGGATCTTCCCGGACCAGGGCACGAACCCGCGTCCCCTGCATCGGCAGGCGTACTCTCAACCACTGCGCCACCAGGGAAGCCCTCAAGTTGCTTTTGACTGATAGAGTCTGAGAGATTCTTGTCTGCCATATGCGGGGAGTCCTTCATGTCACTATTACAAGGCTGTATTATAGCTTCCTCATTTCTGTCCTTACATTTTCGGCTGACTTTTACAAGCAGGAAAGAATTGTATTTAAAATTCATGTTTTTCATACTTATAGCAAGTACTAACAACTTCAATCTTCTTTTAAAATGTACTTATAATTTTAAAGTAAATGAATTAATAGAACTTTGAATATCTACTATGATTCAAAGGGTGTTTATTAAATGGTTAACTTTTACTTAACCTGACACATCACTTCACCCCCCACAACAATAAAAATCATTGTACTTGGCGCTATCATCAGCATGACTACAAACCCAAATAGGTGCAATAAAATAGCTTATCAGACCCAGAATATTCTTATATTCATTTTCCTTTATCAAGGAAAATAAAACGTATTTTAAAGTTCTCTCAGAAAACTCCCAGATTTTTATGAATACATCATCAGAATGGACCCCACAGGAATACTGTTAACCGTTTCCTCCAACACTAAAGCTATTCCAACTTTATAACCTTAACTCAGTCTATAGCTTGGAACAGAATAAAATTAACTCTTACAGGAATAGATGGAATGTCCTTGGCTGAATTAGCATGATAATTCACACTAATTAGAAAGATTAAGCAAGTGATACTAGGAATCTTTATAAAGGAAAAAATATAAGAGGGGAAAAAGCACTAGAAGGGGATTTGATTATTTACAGAAACAGCTATCACAAAAGTATGTTTCACTTTAGTATTATGCAAATATAAACATGGTGTGAAATTTGTCTATAAAGATGAAATCTCTTACAAGCAGCAAATTTATAATTCAATTACTATTTAATGAGTAACTACACTAATCCACGAACTCACTGAGTAACAATCTAAGGGTCACACAGCTGGTAAAGTAGCAGAACCAAGATTCAAACCCTGGTTTGTCTCATTTCAAAGTCTTCAAATGCAAAAAATAAATAAAAAAATTTTTAATTAAGGTTTCAACCTAGATAGAGAAATGATGATGCCACTAATTTTATAATGTACACAGAGGAGGAGCAAATTTGAAAGGGATGATGATTAGCCTAATGAAACCAGGAAGAGCATTTATCCAATTCATTTGTTTTCTCAGTTCCAAGATAGCATCTGCCTTACAGAACCAAAGAGAAGGCAGAGAAAACTATACTTATTGAGAATTTAATTCAAGATAAGTAATCTCTAAATCCTTTAAAAACATTTTAGGTAGTATTTGATGCATACTAAAGAATACATGTATAATGATCAAGTTATGAAGCATAATAAGAAAATAAACACCCATAAACTCACCACACAATTTAAGAACTAGATCATTACCAATATGGATGGGTACACCTGTATGCTCCTTCTCTATTATGTCTGCTTTCCCGAGAAGGCAACCATTAAACAAAATTTTGTATTTATCATTTCCCTGTTTTTCTGCCCTTAATAATCTTATCATATACATACAGAATCCCAAATTAAAGTTTTTCTTGCTTGTTCTTAAGCTTTATAAAGATAATATGCTATATATAGTTTTCTACAAATTGGTTCTTTCACCCAGTATATTTTTAAGATTCATCCATCCACTCTATTGGTATTGGACATTTGTTGTTTATTATTCATTTTAGATTAATTTAGGCCATGTATATTTTCACAGTTACTTATTATATTTTTTTCCTGTCAAGGTTTAAAGAAATTAGAAAAGAGATATATCACACAATCCAATACCCAAAATACCAAGTACCAAAAAGTCAACATCTCAACATCACTTAAAAACCATACGACTTTCACATGTAACTTGCCAAGATGACTTTTTGCACCACCATTTGTGACCCTGCAGTTTAACCACATTGAAAAATAAAAGTTTACTAACAATTGTGGAGATCCTCTACTAAAATACTTTTGCATTATTTAACCATTAATTTGGTCTTATATCACTTTGCCAAAATAAACTCAGTGAAGTTGCTATATATTTAAGATGTCAACCTCAACTTTAAAGTTATGTATTTATTGCCAAAATTACTGCAGACACTCCTAATATAACATGTGTCTGTTAATATGTTAAGAAAACAGTTGTCCAAAAGGTCCCCATTTAACAGTTTTTTTGGGGTTCCCTACTATCTACAGCAGAACAGGAGCATAGTTCAGAAAGTATCACTACTTGTTAAGCAAACACACATGAGTTTCCATTGTATTCCTATTTGGCAGGGACTTTGTTACACTTTCCTCACAGCTTTGTATAAGTGCTAACTGGGTTACTTTTCTAGTGCAAGAGTAGTGAGGCAAGTCTTTTAGCTTCATTTTGGGGAAAGGAAAACCTCTTTAATAATCCATACCTTTTAAGGGTATAAGTGAAACATATATTTATTGATACCTATGTGTAGGACAGGTTATTAGGTGCTGAGTTCCCTAATCTGGAAAGTAGAGATAACAGCAGCGCCTACCTCCCAAGGTCCTTTTTAGGATTCAATGAGAAAATGTAGGGAAATTGCTAAACACAGTACCCAAATCATAATTAAACATTCAACAAATGTAGGTTATTATTTCTGCAAATCTTTCCACTTTCATGTCAATTCCTATTTGATACAGATGTCCCTCCTCCCACCCTGTGTTACTTTGCATTTGCTCAAACCTGAATGTAACGGAGAAATAAGTTACTCTAGAAGCACGCAAGAGAGGGTACCTAAATCAGCCTGGGGACAAGAGGCAGCCAGAGAATTTCATGTGTTATATATTATCCCCACCCCCACCCCAAAGAAAAAGTTCTTTACAGAGCTTAAAAAAAAAAAAAAGTCTCTATTGGGCAGTGATAAGCAAGAAAACTGAAGCCCGGAGGTAATTAAGCGATTCGCTCAACGTTGGATAGCTCTTTACAGAATGGGCTATGCTTCCTCATTTGAGAGCTGGAGTTCAGGTCTCTTGGGACCCGGTCCATGAGTTCTGCCACAAGTTTATATGAGCTCACGACACTAATCTAGGCATTAAATGGCTTTATCAAATTATACGGCGTGATGCAGTCTACCCTGTCCTATTCTCGGTATGTTAACCATATTTGAAATTATTTCAAGCAATACATCACTAAATATAACTCACAGCCTATAAAATCTGTCAGAAGCCTTGTGGAATCAGAATTAAAGTGGAGAAATACTACCGGATAAGTAAGGCTGGAAGGGAAGCAGACGTAGGTTGAGGGAACCAAGCACTAGGAACTGTCGGAGGAAAAGATAAAGAAAAAGTACAAAAACTAGGAAAAGAGAAAAGGTTATTGGGCTACATAATATCTATTCTTCTTGCTCACAGAGGGGCCCAAACACAGCAACACCCGGGGAGGAGATACTTACGGCATTTCGACATTCAGGGACGCACCCCTGTCGCTGGATAAAACCACTGAGCAACCTCTTACGAAAACAGAGAACCTTCGCAGAGAAACACTGAAGCCTGAAAAGCGCGGGCGAATGGTCACTCGACGCTGTGCCACACTCCACGCGGCCCGCCGGAAACACTCCCCCAGCTACAAGGGATCCCAGTGTATGCCGGGAAGGGGGGAGGAGAGTCTACGCCTAGGACAGCTCTCAGCCCTGCCAGGGCAATGCAGGACACTCTCTCACGACTCTGACCAGAAGGCCCCCGATAGATGAGAGGCAGAGCCATCTCCGTTAGCTCTGGAGTAACTATCCCTAGGTTTCTAGCCGGACCATTTGGGTAGGTACTCCGTATCTTGTTTCCGGTAGCGGAGAGGTGCAGTTGCCATGGTAATTAAAAGAAGGCCAAGGACCTTCCGGCCGCTGTGAGAGGGTTGCGGAATCCGTGAGGAGAATTGGCTGCGCTTCCTCGTTTGTGACCTGCAGTTAGGTAGCAAGCAGCTCGCTGTCTGTCTCTTCGCCCGCTCCGTTCGTCACTGTTCGGCTTCCCTTTCGCCACCTGCATCTTTTATCTCTCTGTCATACGTACACTTGCTCCATGTCTGTACTTAAAAATGTAAATATAAATGCAGTTTTATTCCCAGAGGAATACAAAAAAATAGATGTTGCCGGAGATCAGCTGTGAAGGTATTTTACTATGTAGGGACGGTGACTGGATGGCTGTTTTCCCTTGGCCCTTTAGAAGCCTTAGGTGCTTGTAAACAGTTTATTTTTCTTGCTATTGTGCGACTGCTTATTTATGGAGCGGTTCGCTGCAATGTACTCTCTAGGCCCTTGTCTTGGTCTTGGGCTGGAGTTTTAGATGCAGGAGGTTTCCAAGCCTGAGGGGCGCAATTATATATTTAATTATATATTTAAGCTTCAGTTTAGTCTCTCGTTACAGAGAGGGAAAAAATAGCATTCTGGAACATTTCAACCATGGGATTTCCACGTGAGGGAGTCACCTTATTTGGAAAGAGCATTTGAGGACACTCTTAAAAAAAATATTTACATTTTTAAACTGCTGGCTGCAAAACGAACGTTCATTCTCCCTTACTTATTGGAACAGTTTTCTTTCACATTTGTGAGGAGATGTGTGCATGCGTATGTGTTTAAAACTGTGATGCTTAATTATAGTGATACCAATTTGCAGTAACCAGACTGTGACACCACATCCCTTCGGGGTCCTTCTAAATGTGGTGTAAGATGAAAGTGTCAGGCAGGCCGTCTGTGTATTATAAATAGGGTACTTCATCCATGATAAGCGATTATTATCTTTCTTTCCCAAGTGTAAAAGACCTATATAATTCAAGAAGGTGCAAGTGATTTAGGCCTCCTGAGTAAGAATCCAATGAGTCCTGAAGGGGACCCTACCTGTGTCGTCTTATTGTTAAACTTGAAATATTCAATTTATTAGGTTGGAATGTATTTTTGGAAATCAGAGCTGGGTAAAATAATGTTGGAAGCTGTTAGACCTCCAGCACAATTTAGGGCCTCATAGTAACTGTTGTACAAGAAGCCTTCATTCACATTAAAAAACGAAGAAACTGTTATCGAAATTTGCTGCCTTTTGCTACTTACTATTAGCTGGATGACTCTCTGTCTCTCAATTTCCTTATCTGTAAAATGGGCAAAAAATATCTGACCACTGTAGTAGGTATAAATCAAGATGTATGACAGTTTTTTAAGCTCTTATGAGCAGAGGTGCTATATAAACCCCCCAAATTATTATTATTAACATTATTATTGGTAGTAATGGAACACAGTAAAACCTCAGGATAATGCTATAAATGACTGGATTTTTTAAATTCAGTCATTTAAAATGTGGGGCTGAATTACTGAGATGTTAGTGAAATGACCTGGTTGATGCTGCTGTGGAGATGGATGCCAACTGCCAATCACATTATAGTCAAATTCTCATTATGGTGGCGATTCACTCTATCTACAGTTTATTTAGCACTTATTATGTGCCAGGCACTGTTCTATATGCTTCATATGTGTTAATTTACTTAATCCTCATTACAATCCTATGAAGAGTCTTAACTGACTGTCCTCTAATTTTGAGAAAATAGATGAATGCTTTTCCTTTGCCCTGTGATTCTTCTTTTGTATTTATGTTACACCTTTGTTTTGGCTTTGTTCTTTTGGCTCTCTTATATATATATTTAGAAAGCAACTGCCAAAGGCTTATTCTAGCTTAACATATGATAATATAACTGTATGCATATTATAATGTACATCTTTTTTCCACATATAAAAACCTTGATGTCTTGATTCCCCCTCGCCCCAGTTTGAAAGGTAAAGTGACACTTGAATTTTAGGATTAACACTGACTAAAATAAAATTTTAAATTATTTTCTAATAGAATGGCCATCAGTCCAGGAAGTGATGCAGCTTTCTCCAGTCAGAAATCAACGCTTTCAGAGAGTCCTCGATCAAAGAAATTTCCACTAACTGAAGAGGAGATATTTTATATGAATTGTAGAGCTGCCTACTTAACTGTTTTCAAAAGCAGCTTAGATAACATTATTTCTAAAGATCAACTTTGCTTAGGTAATTTTTTTTAACTTAAGTAGCTTGCCTTATTTGTTGAAAGTTAATAGATCAGAAAGACTGCAATTAGAATTACATTGTTGAATCATTCCAATTTCTTAGTTAAGCTTGAGCAGTGGAACTACCTTATGCTATTGTGCCATTTTATATAGCTACATAGTCTAAGAGGTTCAAAATAAAACTTTCAGTGTTCAAATAGACTAGATTAGTATTTTTAAAGCTTCCATCAATTACTTGCTTAAAATTATTTTTAAAATTCTTATCTTGGTACTTTAAGATTCATAAATTCTTATGTTGGTACTTTAAGATTTATAATGATAGAATTAAAACACTTCTGGCAACTGAATTACTAGTCTGAATTTGACCTACACTGGGGAAAATGTAAAGGGAATATATATATATATATATATATATATATATATATGGTTGAATGATTATAAAAGAGTAGTATTAGAAAATAAGTGAAACTTTAAAAGAAAATTAAGAATTTTGGGTTTTGTCCTGTTCTTTAGGGGTGAGGGCTCGAGAGAGTTGATCTTTTTTTGCTTCTTTCCATTATATTTTTTTATTTTATTTTTTATTGAGGTAGAGTTGAATTACAATGTTGTGTTTATTACTGCTGTACAGCTAAGTGACTCAGTTATATATGTACATTCTTTTTCATATTCTTTTCCATTATGGTTTATCACAGGATATTGAATATAGTTCCCTGCCCTATACAGTAGGACCTTGTTGTCTATCTATTCTATATATACCAGTTTGCAACTGCTAATCTCAAACTCCCAATCCAACCCTCTCCCACCCTCCTCCCCCTTAGCAAGCACCAGTCTATTCTCTATGTCTGTGATTCTGTTTCTGTTTCATAAGTAGGTTCATTTGTATCATATTTTAGATTCATATAATGATATATAAGTGATATAATATATTTGTCTTTCTCATTTAGTATGATAATCTCTAGTTGCATCCATGTTGCTGCAAATGGCATTATTTTGTTCTTTTTATGGTTGAGTAGTATTCCATTGTTTATATGTACCACATCTTCTTTATCCATTCATCTTTCGATGAACATTTAGGTTGTTTCATATCTTGGCTGCTGTGAATAGTGCTGCTATGAACATAGGCGTGCATGTATCTTTTTGAATTATAGTTTTTGTCTAGATATATGCCCAGAAGTGGGATTACTGGATCACATGGTAATTCTATTTTTAGTTTTCTTTTTTTTTTTTTTTTTGGCTGTACGTGGGCCTCTCACTGTTGTGGCCTCTCCCGTTGCAGAGCACAGGCTCCGGACGCACAGGCTCAGTGGCCATGGCTCGCTCGCCCAGCCGCTCCGCGGCATGTGGGATCTTCCCAGACCGGGGCACGAACCCGGGTCCCCTGCATCAGCAGGCGGACTCTCAACCACTGCACCACCAGGGAAGCCCAGTTTTCTTTTTTTAAAATAAATTTATTTATTTTATTTATTTATTTTTGTCTGCGTTGGGTCTTTGTTGCTGCACACAGGCTTTGTCTGGTTGCAGTGAGTGGGAGCTACTCTTCGTTGCACTGTGCGTGCATCTCATTGCAGTGGCTTCTCTTGTTGCGGAGTATGGGCTCTAGGTGCGCAGGCTTCAGTAGTTGTGGCACGTGGGCTCAGTAGTTGTGGCTTGCAGGCTCTAGAGCACAGGCCCAGTAGTTAGGCGCACGGGCTTAGTTGGTCTGTGGCATGTGGGATCTTCCTGGACCAGGGCTTGAACCCATGTTTCGTGCATTGGCAGGTTGATTCTTAACCACTGCACCACCAGGGAAGCCCTATTTTTAGTTCTCTGAGGAACCTCCATACTGTTTTCCACAGTGGCTGCACAAACTTTACACTGCCACCAACAGTGTAGGAGGGTTCCCTTTTCTCCACACCCTCTCCAACATTTATTATTTGTTTAATGATGGCCATTCTGACCAGCCTGAGGTGGTACCTCATTGTAGTTTTGATTTGAAGTTCTCTAATAATTAGTGATGTGAAGCATCTTTTCATGTGCCTATTGGCCATTTGTATTTCTTCTTTGTAGAAATGTCTCTTTAGGTCTTCTTCCCATTTCTCAATTGGGTGGTTTGTTTTGTTTTGTTTTGTTTTGCGGTACGCGGGCCTCTCACTGTTGTGGCCTCTCCCGTTGCGGAGCACAGGCTCTGGACGCGCAGGCTCAGCAGCCATGGCTCACGGGCCCAGCCGATCAGTGGCATGTGGGATCTTCCTGGACTGGGTCACGAACCTGTGTCCCCTGCATCGGCAGGCGGACTCTCAACCACTGCGCCACCAGGGAAGCCTGGGTGGTTTGTTTTTTCGTTGTTGAGTTGTATGAGCTGTTTGTATATTTTGGAAATTAAGCCCTTGTCAGTCGCATCATTTGCAAATATTTTCTCCTATTCTGTGAGTTGTCTTTTCATTTTGTTTGTGGTTTCCTTTGCTGTGCAAAAGCTTGTAAATTTGATTAGGTCCCATTTGTTTATTTTTGTTTTTATTTCTATTGCCTTGGGAGACTGACCTAAGGAAACATTGGTACAAT